ACACACACACCAAGTTGGAGGAAAGGCTAATGTCTGGCCTTTGCATGTCACACAGCTTCCAGAATGCAGGCATAGGCTGCCCAGGAGTGGCCAGAGGCAGCTCCGATGGAATGGTCTGCTCTGCGGGATTCAGGGTGCTGAGGCCTGTTGGCTTGCCAGGAGCCAAGGGATTGCTGCTGCAGGGGATTCCCAGGCTCTCCAGAAGGACAGGTCCACCTCAGATTGGCCCTGAGGATGAGAGTTGGGTGTCTTGGGAAGCAGGCTTGGGGTTCTAGGCTGGATCCCTGGCTGGCCAGCTCCTCCATACTGCAGGACAGAGAACTCCCCCACTCCCTTTGTGTCCTCTGAGATGGGCCAGAGCCAACGCCCTGCTAGCTAGCTCACATCCCTACAGCCTTCCCCTGCTCTCCAGGCCCCTCCTTCCTTCCGGGCTATTAGTCTCTCCCTGCACAGCTGCCAGGTCTTTCTCCTTGATCTGGTTTGGTTGCCAGGGAAATGGGAGGAAGGAGGATGGGAGAAAGGGGACAGGATGGATAAACCATCCTAACTCCTAACTAACTGGGAGTTATCCCTGTGATCTCATGAGAAGTCCTAACTTCTGGTTAGGAGCTTGGCAGGTGTGAGGAGGGGGCTGGGGAAACTTTGGTGCTTTCTGCCGCAGCCCTGGGCTCTGAACCCCAGCAGCCATTGGTGAGAAGCCTCATCCACCCCATATTCAGCCCCACCCTTCAGGAACAAACTGGAAGCCAGCACTGTACCCTGTATTGAAGGGCAGGCAAGGCCTGGGGAGGATCAGCTCAAGTCCTGTCTGTAGGGAGCTGGTGGTAGACCTGGCCTCTGAAAGTAGAGGGGACTCAAGCTGGGGAGTCCCTGGTGGAGTTCCTATCCCCTTTCTTGCTTAAGCCCCTCCTGCCCTCAGATGCCTCAGAAGAGAGGAGACCAGAGGGTCTTTCAGCAGGGCTCTGCCAGTTATTGAGTGAGGAAGACCAGAACCTGCAGGGGAAACTGCCAGGAAGAGGTGGCTCCTCTGCTTACTGGAAAGGAACCAGGCCTGGGAGATCTTACAGCAGGAAGATAGGTGGGAAAAGTCATGGGTAAGAGCCAATCCAACTGCCACTCTTCCCCAGGTTCCCCTGCTCTCTATTGTACAAATTTAGGCTTCCCTCCATCTTCTTTTTCACCAGGGTGCTTAACCACTTAGCCACATTCCCAGTCATTTTTATATTTTATTTTGATACAGGGTCTCGCTAAATTGCTTAAGGCCTCACAAAGTTGCTGAATTTGGCTTTGAATTCATGATTCTCCTGTCTCAGCCTCCTGAGCTGCTGGGAATACAGGCCTGTGCCACCATGCCTGGCTTGTTCCTCCATCTCAACAAAATATAGATAACTGTAGCTTCTACCTTGTAGTATTAGGAAGATTAAATGAATAAATATATGGAAATGCTTAGGACACACATTGTAAAGGCTGCAAATATGAGCTACCTTTTTTTAAAAAAGATATTTATTTTTTAGTTGTAGTTGGACACAATGCCTTTATTTTATTTATTTTTATGTGGTGCTGAGGATGGAACCCAGGGTCCTGCACGTGACCAAGTGAGCGCTCTACCTTTGAGCCACAACCCCAGCCCCTGAGCTACATTTTTATTATTTTACTATTACTAATCTCCCAAGTAATATTGTCAGCCCCTAAGTGCAGTGAGGATCTGGGCTTCTGTTGGATTGTCTCAACTAGTGGCCAAAAGCAGTGCTGGACCTGAGATGGAAGGAGCCTATCGATGCCTGGCTGATGACTGGGGTCAGGGGTAGCCTCATCCTTCCTTAGTGTCCCAGAACTCTGAACATGATTGCTCAATTTGATAAGCTGTGTGTTTTGGGCTTTCATAAGTGGCTAAACCTCTATTCATCCCATTCTCTTTATCCATAAATGGAAATAATAATAATAGTACCTATTTCATAGAGTTGGGAGGATTTGATGAGTTACAATATGTGAAGCTCTTAGTACTCGGCCGGTAGTACATGCTGTATAAGCACCAGCCATTATTATCACTACCCCTCCTTCTCCTGCCTCCCTTGGCTGCCCTGTTGAAGGCTCTGAGAGAAACAACCATTGAATGCACATAGGGATTTTCAAGAAAGATGAACAACAAAGTTTAGGTTACTGCAAGAGTACTACTAAATGATAGGCATGGACCCAAAGCTGGATAGGAGAGCAATATGGTTGGGTAGGTGGGTCACTAAGTAAGCAGAGTCACCAGCTGGACTCCCTGGCAAGGCCAAAGCAATTGAAGGGGCCTACTGAGAAGAGAGGGAGTTGGATTCAGACAGCAGAATGCATGGGATTGTGATTTTGGGGGCAGGAGTATTTATGGATACAGTTTCCAGGGTGTTTCTAAGGGTGTGGGCTGCTGAGGCACAGACAGAACGCTGGGAAAGGTCCTGGGAGAAGAAATCAGGCCACTAGTCTGGGTACTAACCAGCTATGTGACCCTAGGTGACTTACTTGTCCTCTCTAGGCTGTTTTTTGTTTGTTTATTTGTTTGTTTTAATTTGTAGAATAGAGACAATGAAGCCCTCATAGAATGAGGCTCCCACGAGTCTCATAGTAGGTGCTCAATATCATTGATTGCCCTCTTCCCCTCCCATGTGACAGAGAGGACTCAAGCACAAAGGAGCAATGATATATCCCTCATTGCTTATAACAAGTATTATCTGGGGTCCTGCTCCTTAGGTTGAGGATTGGCTCACACCTCCACTCCACATACCAGGGAAAGGCTAGTGTCCTCCCCAAGATTCCTTTGCCAGCCAGGCCCTGTGTCATATATCTGTAGTTCCTGCTACTCTGGAAGCTGAGGCAGGAGGATCACAAGTTCAAGGCCAGCCTGGTCAATTTATCGAGACACTGTCTCAACATAAAATACAAAAAGGGCTGAGGTTATAGTTCAGTGGTAGCATGCCACTGGGAGCAATCCCTGGCAATAGGGGTGTTTCTGACCCAGATTAGGAATTCAGCACTGTTCTTTGGTTCCCAAGGTCCCTTTTCCCCACCACTTAGGTAGGACTTGAGGTTCAGAGAGATGACGGTGCTTGTCTGGAGTTGCACGGTGCTTGTTTCTAGGAAATCCAGCCCTGAGCAGACCTGCTGATGTGCTGGGCTCTGGGATCCAAGTGGAGCTTCACCCATAAAGAATCCAGTTCCCCACTTTTCAGGATGATTCTCCAGTCAGTGGATTGCAGGGTCCACACTGACAGAATAGCTTCAGTGGAATTCTTTCCCCATTATTTCCATTTGTGGGCATTAACCCTCCCAGTTAGGGAGTACCCTGGACACTTTTTCAATTTTATCTTTTCTCCTATTGGATTATTTAGTAATAACTAAGCTTCATAGATGCCAAGTATCATGGTAGGCATTTGACACCTTTATTACTTCCAATCCTCACAATAACCCTATCATTTAGATACTATTACCATTTTACAGAATACAATGGGAAGAAATTGAGGCACAAAAAGGTTAAGTAACTTGCTCAAAGTCACACAGCTAGTGAAATAGTTATTGATTTATATGTCTGACTTCCCATTCCCTAACAGGTGGTGGTGAGCAAGTTAAAGAGATGTGTTGCTGCCACCTGCTGGTCAGAGGCCAGAACAACGTGTCTGCCATCTGAATACATCTGTGCTGCTGGAGTGCAAGACTCGGGGATACTGGAACGTTTTAACTTGGGGGGATGTCTCACAGTTATTTTTTGTGGCATCCTTTTTACAGATGAGAATTATCCAAGGAGGTATAAAAAGGAGTCATAGCAGTACTAGTATTAGAAGTTCGGAGCTGTAGTAGCATTCTTCCCCTGGGCTCTAGGAGCCTCCTCTCTTCCCTCAGAAGGCAAAGCCAGGGCAGGAGGGCAAAAGCTGTCCTGGACCTCAGCCCCTCATCTACCATGCCCACAACCTCCACTCCTGCTCTTACCATGAAACCACATCTCCACTGCCTGCCTGGCCTTTCCAGCCAGAGACTCCTCAGCTGGAGAAGAGAAGGGGCTGGACCTGTTAGCACATTCCACTACAAAATGCTAAGCAACACTTTAAGTGTGGACTGGGACCTGCCTCAGAATCCTTAGGGGCTGCTAAAAAGCAGGTTCCAGATTTTCTGACTCTATAATCTGCATTTCAAATTTGATTTCTAATGCTGACATTTTGAGTATTATGGATTGAGGATTATGATTGTTTAAACTTTTTTTTTAGTTGTAGATGGACACAATATCTTTATTTTTTATTTTTTTATTTTTATGTGGTGCTGAGGATCGAACCCAGGGCCTCAGGT